ACTAACCGCTTCAGCTATGGCGCCGCCAATTGTTGAATTAGTTTTAATTTGAATTGATTTACAAATACAAAGCTGTGTCCACATAACACCAGGTTCTTGTGCTACACAGGATTAATACATAACAAACATACAGACTGTAAATATATTAGAAATAAACAGTATTTCAGACTATTTACATTGCTTAAGTAGGTTTAGCTGCCATTACTGTTTCTGCTCTCAGTCCATTTTCTCATTTTACGTTGTAGCTTCCAGCTGAGCTCAGGGGTAATTATTGAATTGTGATTACAGGTCAGCAATAACTGAATAACTTCCACTCAGCCCCAGTATTTGCCAAATTATGTAACGTGGATGAGCTTTTTGTTTGAATGCGTATATGTCTGTTCTTGGAAGACTTACCTGCGATAAATTCCCACTGTGTGGGCAGTGTGAAAGGGAAAGTTGAATGGTGTGTGTTACTCATGGCACTGCATTTGCAGTAGCTGTTGTACAGGCAGATGAGTGGGTAATTCAGTCTTTAAAATCTTATGTTATGAGAAAGCAGACATGTTCTGCACTTGAGAATAGCCTACACCATGGAGCAGAGTTCTTGTTAAGCTTATTGGTGGTCAGGTGGCAAAGAAATTCTCTCATTTTATGGAATACAAGGCTTGAGTACAGTGTTCACAGGGCCCAGCTCTGGCCCATATCCTGAACGAAATGGATGCAGTTCACGTCCTCGCAACCTGTTTCAGTGGATACAAGTGATAACGTTAAATGTATGGAGGTTTTGTTTGAGAAAATTGCTGCATGCAACAGTTTGTAAAATGGCAAACTTACTGCATTAACTCTGAGCATGGTGAAGGAGTGTGAAGTGGCTTGACTGAGATCAGAATGATGGGGCAGGTCAGGGAAACTGCATACACAACTTGTGGAACCATGGTTAGGACATTGATACTCCTTATGACACTGCAATAAAACCTCAGGCATGGAAAATGTAGGCAATGAAACTACGTTATGATGTGAGTCACTTGTAATGCTCATGTGTGAAATAAACTCCACAAATGTACTGTATAACAGAGTTACTACTATGTCAGATCTTCAGATCTGGAGGCAGATCTTCATGAACTCTTAACTTTAGCAGGTTAAAGGAGTTGTCTTCTGCCTGGGCTGGGTAGGACCTAGGGGTGTTATAAATTATTTAAACAAAACAATGGTTGTCTATCTGGAGTAAGCAGTAATGTTACTTGAGAATATGACATAGGCCACTATGCAGTTTGATTGGGAGGTGTACTGAGTAGGAAGTGGAGAATGTGAGAATTGCACTGAGAAGAGCAGGTGTTCCTTACCAGTTGTGAATGGTCTTTTGTCATAGAGTCACTTTTCGCTACAAGCTTGGTGAGTGCAAATGTTGGGTTTAATAATTTATTGTTTTTTTTTTAAGTCACTTTGATGTTGTGGTGTGTAACTTTTCACTGTGATAGTTTTAGGCAATGCATGTGTACTGCATTTCCAGTGTTATCTATAGGCTGTTCAAGAATATATATAATAGCATGACGTAAGCAGTCAACCTTGTTTGCATGTGTACTAAAGATTTTAGTAGTTACATAACCTAGAAAACATAGCTTTGTGCTTACACTGCAGGAAAGGGCACATGGAAGTATTTGGTGCCTTACTAACGTGTGACATTGCTTTAGTAACGGTGAAACGAATTAACGTATCTTGGACATGTTTACCTGTGTGTAAATTAGTAAGGTTCCAAAGGAAGGATCCATAAGAACCTTAATGATGCATTATTTACAGTGCGTTAAATATGAAAAGACGTTTATGATTAATGGGTTTCAAATTTTACCTCAGTCATTTAAGAGAATGCCAAGAGTAGCATTTTGAAATAGAGTGTACCTGCTTTCTGTTTCTTCTCCAGTTCACTGTAATCATCCTAGCATTTAAGACGACTATAATAAACTCTGCAGATGGGTAATGTCTTTAAATACATTTCTGGAATGGAAATAACTACAAATCAACCACCCGTGGTCTTCCCAGTTCAGAATTTATAATTGCAGACTGTGTATAACATAGATGTATAGGATGTACTTGTATAGACCCAAATTTTCTTGATCTCGGCACCAATTAGAGGTGAGCGGTGAGCTTCATGCCTTATCCGCTTTACCCGTGGGGAAAGAGCCCCCAGGTACCGCTTGGATAGGAGGCTGGGTTGGCCGCAGATCCGGTCTGGATGGCAAGGAGAAAGGAAAATTCTTAACCGTATCGGGACTCGAACTCAACCCCTTAGTTGGCCAGCCTGTAGTTAGTTACTGTACCAACTGCGCTACCCTGGCTCCTCTCTGTCATCTGTGAGCCAGTTGTGTAGAGAATGTAGGAGCCTCCACATCTCACATCCCCGTGGGCCTCCACAGCCTGTTATGTGGATAGCTTTACGTAACAGATGAGGGTGTACCCACAAATATATACAAACTAAAAAATTACTTGAGCATTTGAGGTTCTCACGACAAGAGTCGAGATAACAGTATCCTGTGGTGTAACACCATGTCATTAGTAGATACCACTGTTATGGAGCTGCTACCTATCAGATGACATGGTGTTGCTTCATTGAGGAATGTAATCTTAAAAGTTGATTTAAGATTTTGGTTGTTAAAAGTACAGAGTCGGCATTTTCATGGTCAGGACAAGCCTGCTCTCGTTCATGAATCCAAACTATTTCACTTGAAATTGGCTATACTAAGTTTTATATTAACAGGATAGTTCTTGCCACCTAGATCAACTGTCACAGTCTTCGCTCAGATATGATAGTAATTTCTAATTTAAAAGATTTAATATTCTGTTAAGCGAAGATGTGTTGAATGTGTAATATAAATGGGAGACACTGAAGTGAAATCTTTGTGTTGAACCCAGCCTGTCAGAGACAGGAAAGTGAACAGGCACTGCAGTGTTATGGACTAGAACAGCCTTTTCAGTTTGAAATAGCATACTAAGTAAATTTCCCTGTCTACCCACATACATACATACATACATACATACATACATTCATACATACATGCATACATTCATCTGCGTTTCAAGATATTCATAAGTGCAATCTGCACTGAATATGGAACATGTCACAAGCTTTACAAACAACAATACATCTGTACAATTCCAACATGCCATATCACAATAACAAACAAACATAAATGCAAACAACGTCCATCTAAATAAATACATAAAATACAGATTATATTTACACGTAATGTCTATATTGATTCCTACTGTGGGACATCCATCAGCCAGCATGCACTCCCCTTCTATTCCTTAGCTGTTGATCCCAACAGAAGAGCAAAAATTCATCAACAGTATATGACGGATTATGTATTAGGACATTCCTTATTTCTTTTATAAACTGTTTTTTATCATGTACTAAATCAGTTAAATAATCAGGCAGACTCTTAAATATTTTTATACTCGTGCAATGGACCCTTTTCTGTCTCATTGCGAGTTGTGATTGTAGGACATGTAAATTTCTTTCGTGTCTTGTCAGTCTCTCATAAATTGAATAATTAAAAGAGTAAAGTACTCCAAGTTATTTATCGTAAAAGTTATCAAAGATAAAATGTATTGCGAGAGACCAGTGTTAATATATATAACTTTATAAATGCTGGCCTACATGACTCTATGTTTCATCCCCATTATTATTCTAATAGTCTTCTTTTGTAAGAGGAAGATCTTCTTGGCCTCTGACGAATTACCCCAAAAAACTACTGGTCACACTCACGTATGTGCGTATCATAACCAGTTGATAGGAGCTAAAGTCATTTATACTGTAGCAGGTTTGTTATTGTGGAAATATTGAAATTATCATGCAAAAGTATATTGATTCATTATGGTGCCTACACAGTTTAATGGCAGAGAGATCCACAGATGTGGAGCTTACCTTGCCAGTGTATGCTTGCTTTGAATTTCTTTGATTATGAGCTTGTCAGTTCATTGCAGTCTGATGGTGTCTTGGTTGCAGACACAATCTTAAGTCTTCACTGCCATGAATTCTTCTTATTCCTTGTTAATGGCAGTTTTAAGGGAAGAGGTGAATATTCTGTTACAATTTAGGGGCACAATATCTTTCAGTTGTGAAATTAGTTTAATTTTTTCATTGAACTGCAGAAGTTTGCTCAAGTAGCAACACTTCTGATTTCTGTTCTGAAGGTGCCCAGTTTGAATATTGTCTGGGACACTAAAAGTACGTAAGGTAAAAAGGCAAAGCTACCCCTATAACAGGCTGTGGAGACCCACAAGGTTGTGAGATGTGGAGGCTCCCAAATTTTCTAGAAAATCGACCCACAGATGTCGGTGAGGTTGTCAGCCTTATGCACCGGCTGTCATTTACTTACAGGAAGAAAGTTTTGAACTTGGACAGAATTGCAGGATCATTTCTGTGATACAAAAAATGTTCAACACTTCTTTTATGCTTCAGTGTTTCTTTATGTAGGATGTGATGTTGGTTGAATGCTTTCCAGTTTCATTGGCCCACACAGGGCCTGTTAGACATATGGGTGTCTTGTGAGGATAGTGTCAAGTTATGTACTTTTGGCAGTAGTGGCCTAGGTCAAGGTACTTCAGTTTTAAGTGGCTGAAACTGAAGAAAAGGCACAGTAAGTCTGTCATGATAGGTAGTCCCTGCAAGTCCCTCCTGCCACGTAGTAGAGCTGGTTACCATAATGCCAAACATATTGAACAGAATTACATGGGCAGTGGAACATAGAGCTGGGTTCCATTGGTACAGTACAGATCCATATTTACTACCCTTTTTGATGGTTAAGTCACAGAAATCCGGATGGTTTAGTAATTTAACTACTGAAATTGCTAGTCATCTAGTTCTCCCCTTCTGTCTCTTTCTTTTATTGCCTTCTTGATTTGTTACTGTTTTTTATTTTCTGATATTTTTTAGTTTCACCTGTTGATTGCTACAATCGGCTTGCGCTCTGCACGGGATCGCCTGGTTATCGTTCGAATCTTGTGTTGCATGTGTGCAGGTTACCCCGCAGTACCTCTGGGCGTGAGTAATGGAGGCGCAGGCTCCCCTCTGGGCCCCCGAACCGGGTCCCCCCCGGAGTCGCAGCAATCCAACTCTCAGGCCCCTTCTCAGCAGCAGCAGCAGCAACAACAGCAGGGCGGCAACGGGCAATCGCCTATGGCAGCCCTCATGTCAGTAGCTGATAATCTGCCCCCTGGTTCACCTCGAAGTACTGGGGGGAGTCCCCCGGGATCTGGGGGCCCGAGGTCAGCCTCAAGAGGTTCTCAGCATTCACCAAATTCCTCAGGTAAATTATGAAGAGAGCAATTTGCGATTTCTTGGCTTGGGGGTTCCTGCTGCACTTGAGCTTCCTACTTGGGGTGCTGCTTGCTTGGGTTTGATGTAGGATAAGAATCAGATTCAGTTAACATTATTAACACTTTCCAACTACAGAGCTAGGAATGTACTTGATAATTTTGTCCATGTATGTGAGAAAGTTTCAGTGACTTGTATTTATTGAGCTGAAAAACAAATTAAATTGACATGTTAGAAACAAGTAAGTGTGTTTTGTAGGTTTCAAACTGAAGGAACTGGAACATACATTGCTGTATGAAACTAGTGGAATTAACCAGTAGGTATTAGGTTACAAGATGTACTGACATAGAGTTATGGACCCTGAGATTAGAGTTTTAAAATATGTAGTATTCTAGCACTGCTGACAAACCTAAACTGTAGTGCATCCTTCAAAAAGAGTTAAAAAAGCCTGTTTAATATATATAAATTTTTACAGTAATGGCACTGTGCGTTTGCAACATTATTGGCAGTTACTATTAAGGCTGGACAGGATCTATACCTTTGCATGATTTTCACGTGTTCTTACACTGCATTACATTATGAAGCTTTTGGTTGATTCTGTGTTGGTGTTGCTAGAATTCTTATTGTTCACTGAATAAAAGTATTAATTTTTCAAAACTCTTCAATCAGCAGATCTTTCTCTTGGAACTCAACACATGCAGTTACTCTGTCTAGTATTCAGATGTTTGCAGACATATTTCATTCAAGCTGGTACTGCTGCTCATGTCATGCCTGAATGCAGTTTACTAATGTTATTGGCTGGGGTCGGTCTAGCAAGTGTACCTGAAGTGAGAATGATTTGAACTGAGGAATCTTTCACATGACCACAACAAGGTTGGGTGTAGCATGTCTAGTTCAGAAGTGCATGAGCATGTGTTGATATGTTTTAAAACAGAAGTCTCTTGTGTTTAAACACGGTACCTGTAGGGTTTGTTGAGTTAATTTCCTCAGTCTTCCACTGTTAGTGGTATCAACGCCACAGAAGGGAAAATCGTTGTTTAATTTGTTGTTACTGAATTTGATTAAAACAAGCAGTAGCTGCATGCATCCATATGTATGTTTATGGTTATTACAGATTTTGATGCAATTGTGACAGCCATTTTGCATGATAATACATCTATTTTTCAGAAATACTGCAGTAGGCATTTTCTGAAAGGAAAAATATTTTAGATATGGCCTTCAAATACATTCACTTACTTTTTTTTTAATTCATTGTTTTGATATATTGATTAGAAAATAGTAGCCAGCTTCATGAAACGTTATCATATTTATGATATGCAGCAGTGCACTCATCAGTAATGTTGTAATTAATACTTAATATGTATATCAGTTAGGTGTCACGTACACATGGCCTTGACTGCTCTGTCATGCCCATCACATACTTACGGTTCAGGCTGTAAGAAGAGGCTGCATTTATTACAGATTAATAACCCAGTGCCCTATTTTTATGCACAAGTTTCACCAGCGTACATATTTGCTATTTGAAAAATGTCTGCTATAACCTTGGCGTTTCATGCTTTTGGTATTCTTCCGGTTTTAATTTTCTTTGTATGTTTATCTCCGTACCAAATTTCACATGTTAGGATATCTTAACATGACTTGTTAGTTATCGCTATCAAAACAGTGCGTAAGTAGAGAATCCGTGTGAAGTTTTTGGGTTGTCTTAGGGCACATACATTTGCATTCCTGCTATATTGATATTTAATGGTAGAAGGTGATTGTAGTTAAGCAGATGTAGTCCACCAGTAGGAAGATATTCTTACCAGGTTTGATGAAAATAAAGACATTTTTGGACAGTGTTAAGGTACACACAGACCCATGGTAATATCTGTAATAGTAGAACAAGGAAAATGATCTGAAAAGAACTAAAACAGCGTTTGTTCAAGTTGTATTCTAGTTTTTAAAGTAGCTGGAATTTTATAATAACTCAGGTTTTCTCTTTAATACCAGATAAATGGAAATAGTTTTTGAGAGCAGCACATAAACAGATCATCAAATTCTGACTAATTTGTGTGCACGAGCATGCCATGTGGAAGCCTTGAGAGAGAGATAATGCCTTCTTTGAAATGTTCGTACCTGCCCCCCAAACTATATGATGCTGCACCTCGAAAGACCATAACCCAATTCACTTCCATGAGATCCTCAGATCTCATTGTTGCCACACCAAAAATATGTCTAAGGTTTTTCTTAGGAGAAATATTTCTTGCTGTCATGTGAATGTGTATTTGTAGTTTCTAGTTGACATGAATATTTGTTGCCAGTATGATGGAAATGAGTGATGATGATTCATTAATGAGTGATGATGATTCATTCCAAGTGCCACGAAGTGATGAACACCCTAAAGATGAATATATATTTTAAACAGTAGCCTTTGCAGTTAACACATGAATGCTCACATAGATTTCAAATTATTTTCTATGACTTTCCAGGGTTCTCTCAGACAACAAAATTGAAGTTTATGCAGTGAACAGTGGATTAAAATTGTTTCCTATTTCCTGCACAATTTATCAGTTTTATAAAATTTACATTTAGAAGGTTAGGGACGCACAGTAGCGCAGTTGGTTAAGGCACTGTGCTACAAACTGGAAGGTTGCGGGTTCAAATCCTGATGAGGTCATTGGATTTTTCAATTGACCTAATCCTTCAAGCCGCATTGTGGCCCTGGGGTCAACTCAGCCTCTAACAGAAATGAGTACCAGGAATCTTCCTGGGAGGTAAAAGGCAGCCAGTGCATATAAGGTTGACCTCACCTCCACCAGTGAAGTGAGCCGATTGTCTAGAAGATGTGGGAGCCTCAACGTATCACAACCCCATGGGCCTCCATGGCCCTATTACAGGGATAACTTTACCTATACCTCTACACTGAGAAGCTTAATACTGTCTAACGTATTATGTGCTGGCAGGAGGTTTCTGGGTTGAAACTCAGTCAGTGAGCAGCCATCCTGATTTTTCATGATTTCCTTTTGTTCTGCAGATGAATGCTGAAATAATTTTGACTTCAATCAGTTCCTCCTCCAACCTTCCTGATTTTCATAATCATCTTAACTGTGTCTCAAATCAGCACTTCATAATCTCAGCAGTTGAAACAGTGGCATAAATAAAAAAGTATTTCAGAACATCAGATGAGTTGTACGCAGAAACCACATACCTGATGAAATTGTCATGTATGAGTGGTGCTCTGAGGAACTGTAAAAAATGTTCTTTTGAAATATTCTATGCGTATAAAAATCAAGGTCTGGCTAATGTGTTTTTTCAGGATCCAGTAGTGGTCGCCGATCATCAGGTAGCCGTCATGTTAGTTCAACAACAGTGACCTCTAGTGAAACTACCAGTGGTAATGGCGTGGGTGGTGGAGAGGGTGCCGGCACACCAACTGGTAGTGCAGGAGAGGCAGGTGCCAATTCTGGTGGAGGTACCAGCAGTGGAGCCCCAGGGGCTGTACCCAGCACAACTACGCTCAAGTGTACACTGTGCCAAGAACGGCTCGAGGATACACATTTTGTCCAATGTCCCTCCGTCCCTCATCACAAGTTCTGCTTCCCCTGTTCTCGGGATAGTATCAAGAGGCAGGGGGCTGGATCAGAGGTCAGTAGTGTCTTCAGTCACGTAATATTGAGTGCATGGTATTCACAGTACAAATAGTATCTTTGTAAAGTGATTATGTTCGGTAATTTTGTGTGTTTGTTAATAATCTGTGTGGTGGCCACTGTGAAGAGTTTCTTGCTTGGCTTACTCTGCAGCCTTGGAGATAGAGGTGATATGTTCCTCCAAAATTCCACATGAGCCACGTGGTATTACAATCCAAGAGGCAGTACTCTTCAAAAGAATAAGATGTTTTACAATTGATTTTATTAATATCATTGTGTAATATGTTGCCTTGAGTAATTAAGTAAATCATTTCTTTTTGCTATAGGTTTATTGTCCAAGTGGAGAGAAGTGCCCTCTGGCAAACTCAAATGTTCCTTGGGCATTTATGCAAGGTGAAATTGCAACCATCCTCGGTGAAGAATTTAAAGTGAAGAAGGAAAGGGAGACTTAAGCCACAATGAGGGGGACCCAGGTAAATGGGTTATTTGTCTCCATACTTGTTTCCAGCTTCTCTTCTCTTTTTCTGTAATTGAGAGAGAGAGGTTGTGTACTGCAGTGGGAGGTCAGTTAGCAAGCCGATCACTCTGAATGTGGCAAGGATTAAAGGTGTGTGGTACAGTTACCACATCCCAAAGTAGAAGCTGATGGAGAGGTACAAATAAAAGCATCAGGTTTAGGTTTCAAAGAGTTCCTACACCCAGGAAATAGAGGCTGGCTATTTCTGGGAGGGTAATGGTAATTCCTGGCTCAGGATATGAAATAGGATGAGTTGATAACAGGAAGGTCTGTTGTAAAGCCCCTTAAGATATTATTGTACGATCAAAGTGCAGGCTACTTTAGGCCTTGAAATGATTAATATTGGTTATTTTATGGTCGAAGTATAGGCTACTTATTGGCCTTATATGGTAAATATAGGTAGTCATCTGTTTTTGAAAAATACTGATTTGTGTTGCATCTTACATTCATGGTTGCTAAGGTGGATGTAGTATAAAATGGAAATGGAATATCACAAGCAGTCAGTTGATACGACTGTGTTTTGTTAACCCTCATTTCTGGAAATCGTTTTGATATGATAAGGGTACATGGCATATTGGGTATTTTTTCCTTACCTGGCCATTTTCTCACATTTTCACAATGATGTGTTGCAGACATTTGATTTTTCTTTGCTGATCGATATAATTTCTTGTTGGCAAAAACAAAAGTAGATGCTGTGGCTCTTTATTTCATGTCTTTCAGAAGGATTTGTCTAACGTGTACATAACAAAACATTAGCATTTGTACATATGGTTTGAAGAGTCTGATGCATTTGTCTTGTGATTTGCACGAATACAAAATGTTTTGTGTAACAAGCATAACACGAAGACAAAAGACAGGTACAAAGTTTAGCAGTTAAGTTCTGTAACTTCAAGAAGAGTCTGGTGTTGCTTTTTAAAAAGAGAGCAAGTTTATGTGAAGAGAATGTGTATTAGTTAATGTAGCAGCTCAGTTTTTCATTCAGAGCCAATTTTTTATGAAGAGTTTTATAATATACTCAGATTAAAAGTAATGAAACTCTCCTTAAGTGTACAAATTTTGAGTGTCATGTGTAATATGGACATTTTGTCGTTCTTGGGAGGGCCAATAGCAGTAAAATATTTTACTAGTATAAATTATAGCATGTTTATCTTGCGTCATATAGGAAACGTTTTTATTTTATGACTAAGTGTCGTCAGGTTGAAGCAGTGCGTCACTAAACATGTTCAAAATTTGTAAAGATAACATGAGAAAATTGTTAGGAAACTGTCAGGTGTTTAAGCTCCAGATTTTAAGAATTGAATTGCACTTGTTACAGTAATTTTGTCTAATATACCATATTTGCACCCAGGTTTGAAATTTATAATTCATATGAACTATTCACTCCTCATGAAGGAAGTATTGCTACTCTTTATGTAACTAATGAAGGTAGTGGTTTGGAGTGAAGAAGTTCTGGGATTACTGCTTGTGGCTGAGCCAGCAGTACAGTTGCTGCTGTAACAAGTGTTGTAACTTGCCAGTCCAGTGTGCAAGAGAACTTGCAATACTAGCTGAGCAATCTCAGGCCTCTCCTTGTTTTCTTGTAATTAACCTGTATTTTTGCTGTGACAGATAGTTGTGTACACTACTAAAATACAAAGTGTTTTGTAATAATAATAATAATTATAAATAATTAATTCATGATATAAAAGTTCCTTGTGGGCATTTCAAGTCTTTATATAATTTTGTGCTCTTCTTAGATATCTAACTTTTTTTTCCTGTTCTGCAGTAATTGGTTTAAATCTTCCATAAAACCTATAATGTTTAATTTCCAGAAGTATGTTATATCATAAGTATTATTTCAAGGTTCAGTGAAATCACTCCTCTTCTGTTAAGATTTTGGCCTACATTTTAACAATGCACAACCTCATCTTTCAGCTGACACGATATTTGGGCATGATCTAAACCAAACAGAATTACTTCAGCTAGACACTGTAGAATTTGCAGTAGGATTATGATACATCAGTATTTTAAATTTGTCTCAGTTCATATTTTTGTGCCATGAATATGTTAAAGTTCAAACTATTGAAGTCTGCAGTTTCATTGTCTTACTACATAGTTTGCATTAATATGATAGTATGGATTAGGATATTTTGACTACAATGTTTCTGTATACACATGTGATGTGGTTTTAAAGCCTCTCTTCACTGAAGAAATTAGTAAAACTCAAAACTGCAGCCTAGGAATTTCCACTGAGATACGCTTGTCGTATAGTAGCTTAATTTCAGGTTGTGCATACTTACCATTTGACCCTGGTAACTGTTTCCAAACGTTTTTGCTGTGACATGCCTTAAATGGTGGAGTGTAGCTGCATTGTTGGGGGACAGGCAGGTTGTATTTACCATCCATAAGCTAGTAAGGGCATTTTGGGGTGGGCTTTGTATCAGCACTGTCTGCTCAACTGTGTCGTTAATCGTTTCATGTTGTGCATCTAAGTCAAGCAAATCATTTAAACATGTACATTAAGGGAGGATTTGACAAAGCTATAATCTGCACCCGCCCCATTAGTTGCACTTTGCTGTTGTCAGTTTACCGTACAGCCAGTAGCTCAGGGCATAGCACTGTTGCTCCTGTTAACTCTCTTTGTAGTTATCGACATATCAGAGACCATCATGAACAAGTGGCAGTGTGAACCACCTTAGAGAAATGGTCTGGCTAGTTGGAAAAGGATGGAAATTAGTTTCTGTGTTGCAGCAGGAATTTCTGGAACTTGATATACTACCGATATTTTTAGTATTGATTACACTATGCATCATGGCTGTCACTGTTGTCTTTCTGCCAGTGATGTCATTAATTGTCCTTATTCCTTTTTCCTTGTTAGTATGAAACCCCACCAACACTCCTTATGATAAGAACCTAGTCAATGCCTGGGCGACTCCGTAATTAGTTGCCCGAATGAAAGGAACTCCAAAACTCGCTGGTGTGTTTTAAATGAGAAAAAAAAATCCCTTGTGTAGTAGCATTAAATTTAGTAGGTAGAGAAATATTTACTCTCTTGTTCTATATAGGTTTTTGCTATGCTGCAAATCGATTAATTGTAACAAGAAGTGGAAAAAAATAAACGTTTCTGTAAAGTTGGTCCTATACATGAAGTTGGAGCATTTTTAATAGTGAACATTCATGTGTTCCACTTTGGTTCGTTTGTACAAAGAAGAATTTTTGTGGTAACATTTTTTTGTAATGCAAGAACATAAAAGAAGCAAAAGAAATTAGTAAGGTGACTTCACACATTTGCATGAAACTATTAAAACGTCTAATATTTACAAAAACTCCCAGCTAAATGTTTATGTTTGATGCTTCGTTTTTTCATGTTTGCAGTCTTCAGTGTTATATATTAATTTACAGTCCACATGGTAACAGCATTAGGTGGAACCGTAAAACCAAATTTGAATCTGTTAAGAAGTGATATTCTGTTCTTGTTTCATGGTTGGAAGTGTGTTTTGATGCTGCTGCTATGTACAAGGAAAGAGATCTTAATTTTATATTTCAGACTCAGAATTTATATCAGGAATGCCAAATGTGAATTCATAACTGGGTTTGAAATGCTAAGACATTTTTTGCTCAGTTATATGCAAACTGAAAAAAGGTACACTATGTGTTGTCTTTTTGTGAGATTTGAGGAAGTCGCAGCAGTTACTGTGAAGATTACAGTCTTGGTGTGTGGCACCGTGCAGTCTGGTAGATACCAATATTTTAAAAAAGTATGATGCCCCCATCTTCATGGTAGAAGAGCAAGTGAGAAGGGGGAAACCGGTATTGCTGCAGCGAATGAGAACACTGGGACCAGGTTTCTGAGCAGACCAATAGGCGAAGTAAGAACAGAGTGGAGAAGGGCACTGCTAATATTTAAAGAGCCCTTGGATCACAGTGCATGGTGCCACATTACACAAGACAGTATTCTTTGTGATTACTGATTTTTTTGGGTGTTGTACACCTCTGATGTTCCAAAGAAGCAGCATTTTGGAAACTGGATTTCTTTCCATCTTCAGGTGAAAGTCTGGGAAGCAGCTATTCCTGTGGGTTCCAATTGAAAGAGCCGACTGTGTGATTCTTGTGAACCCCCAAGAGTAGATGCATCCCACCATTTTCTCTTGAAGATGGAAACATCCAGTTTCTGAAACATGTTTATTGGAACGTTAGGGGGTGTGCACATTCCATTAAGTCTAATCCTGGGGTTTGTACGCCATCATCAAAACCCTTTAGAATTACTAATCTGTATGTTTTGTTTATTTGAATTTTATGTTTAGTTAGGGTTACAGTACTAAATTGAAAGTCTTTAAAAGACGGCAAAGGACACACGTGGTATGGATATATGCATACACACATTTTTCGGTGCCCGTGAATGTATATTTATGTGATTTCTTACACATAGATAATTAAGAAGGAATATATTATTTTTCCAGTGTAAGCAGAAATACTGACTTGATTTCCTAGATCGGTCTACCCCATCTTAATTAAATTTAAAATTATTAATTTTGTTTTGTTTAATGATACCTAGATGGTCTTGTTTCAGAATGTTAACAAATTTAGTGACAGATATAACAGGCACAGAGGATTCATGTGCAGTGCTGAGTAAAGAATGCCTAAAAATAATTCCTAGTGAACGTAGTGTCTCATCTTTTTCTGTAGATAATTCTGGTTTTAAATATCACAAAATTTAAGAAATGTGGACTGATGAATATTTTGCGACTTGAGATTAGTCCAGATTCATGCCTATTTATTTGTAGTGTAAAACCATGATCACTTAATGTGACAAGGAACAGAAGTCCTTGCCATTTTGGAAAATTGTGGCACCATTGGTTTGCCTCTTGACAGAAAATCCTTTAGAAGAAGTGAGAATGGCGTCATTTATCAAACACTGATCAACAAATCTGCAGGTTGTTAGGTTTCCGGTGAATACTGAATAGTTGATTACGCAGGTGTCAATAAACTGGTGATGTTGACACTTTAAAGAAGAGTAAATTAGGGCAACTGAATTTTTGTTGCCATTAGGAGGAGATAACCATAGAATGGAAAAAAATGTTTTTGTACTTTATTGTTTTTCACAAGAGTTCTTGTCAGTATTTTTAATAAAAATGGATACAAACCACATTAAAATTAAAGTAGTGAATATATATGTATGTTTTTTATGTTCTCTGATATATACTACCCCAGTGTTTTTGTAAATATATGTAAAAATAGATTTAAAAGCAAATATATATATGAAACATAATTGTGGAATTGTGTTGTAAATGGTTGTTTCTCATTGCTTGAATGTTAATGTATGCCCTTTATACAGACTTTATGTTAACTGCTTCATTAATTTGTAGACAAAATGGCGTCACCGAATTATCATCCAATCAGTGTTTTAGGAAAACCTTGGTAATTACTGCTTTGTAATGACTAAGAATGCGATACCTACTACTCGTCAAATAAAAAATATTTTTCGGTGTTAAAAGTTCTTTCTTTATTTGCATGTGATACCCTCCTCCAGCGTCCTATATAAGAGGGACCTATGTTCTATCTAATGAAAGATTATGTCAAGATGTGTGTGAGGTTGACGAGAGGCAACTGATTGTTGTTTCCCTTGTTAGTTTATGTGGCTATAGGCATTTCATGATTCCCTCATGATAAGCTGATAATTCTGAGCCAGACAAATTTCTGGCCCTGTATAGAATCCGAAAGTTCGTTACCACATTCACAGGAGCCTGCCACGGCCCAGTTATGAGCAGAATGAATCCGAACAATAAAAGGGTGAAGTTGTCTCCGTGCTTAACCAATTAAGCACTACGCAATGAAGGCGTAGGAGGGAGTGGATGTATAGATCCACATTTTCTTAATTTGGCACTAGTTGGAAGTGCGTGGTTATCTTCCCCAAACCTGAGCTCTCTTAGGGCTGGAAATCAAATTGCACATCCATACAGAATAACGGATGAACTTATAATTCTGTATATCTCAGCCCAATTTTTAAAATGAATGGATAGAATTTTTAGTATCTGATATTAATTCTTCTGAACATGCATTTCTCACAGCGGTGACTATGAAGAGTACAGTCTTTTACGTGATGTAACGCCGTTTAGTCCTGTAGTCCACCGTGCAGAAATAACTATTTCCATCTTCAGGGTAGAAAGAACCCATGCAACAGGCATCTTGCTGTAGAGCTGCAAGATAAAGGCGTATGTTCCTCCGAAACGTCGGTGAACTGCCAAATTGCGTGGCATTACGTCAAGAACACAGTAGGTCTACTGATCACTAAAGGGACCCATAGACATACGAGTCCGGCTCGGGGAGCTTGACTCGGGAGCCGGCCTGGGATTAATTTCACCACAAACACATGAGCTGACTCCCAACTTTGCGATCCACACACGGACGAGTTTGGCTCATTGGAACCTGAGCCGACTCGCATTCGCGAGCCAGACTCGTACTTTTATGGGCCCCTTTAATCTGCTCAAGGAAAGCATGGTTGATGCGTGTACACGAATAGACTGACACTTGTGCATAAGACGGCCAAGTCAGTCGACCGTAACAAACGATAACGTGCCTGAACTTTAACATACCGTATGTTCATTTTCCAATATAAACTTCGTATTGATAAGATACGAGTTGTATTTGGCAACAAAATGTATCTTAAAGAAATACGATTAGTGGGTGGAGATTAAATCATCTTGGGTTAGGATCCAGTGAGTAGGCTTTTGTCAACGTGGTAGTGACTCCTCGGGTTCCCTGAATTTCTTGACAAGCTGAGCGACTGTCAGCTTCTGTAGAGGAATTAATGCTGCAAGGAGTTGCTTCGTCCCTCCTGTACAGTAAAATTCGCATAGTGGGGGTGGAGTCCAACTGGTTCCACTCGGCACGGCGGCCACTGATTGGCCTATTGTAGCCTACACCGGGTGATTATGATGATGGAGAATTTGGTGGAATGAAGATTGGCAGGGGAAACCGAAGTGCTCTGAGAGAACCCGTCCCAGCGCCACTTTTTTCACCACAAATCCCATTTGACCAGACCCGGGATCGAACCCTGTCCGCCGCGGTGGGAAGCCAGCGACTAACCGCTTGATCTATGGCGCGGCCTCTCCTGTATAGTATCTTGCTTCCTGATATAATTTATGGCCAATTTTGTCTGGAGCCTTAGGGTCAAGACTTTGTCCCTCAGCCTCAATATTTTTCACATGTACTGTTGCGGCGTGACGGGGGGCGTGGAGGTACCTCCACCGCTTCCGCCACTGTACCTCTCTCTCTCTAGCTCCCGCTACACTTATCTCCTGCCGGGATGACGGAGGACGAGGAAAGATCCCTCTCCGTCACCCTAATTAGTAGGCTGCCACCATCTTGTTAATTCAAGAAATCTCGTACTTCTCTTAGCTTGCATTACTGTCTGGGTTAACCGTAAATCGCCGAAGCTTTGGGACGTCCTGGAGTCGGAGGAAGAGGATAACACTCGTGGATATGTGAGGTTGAATGAAACTCGTCACATTCCTAGCCTATTCTATTTACCTACGTCTTTAAATACACTATATACACCGTGCCGACGTTTGTCGGTTCGACTTACATTAAAATAATCTTGCAGTGTCTCATCATGTCCACCGCCTATCACCCTGCTGTCGGTATTCTATGCTTGGAATCACTGAATGACCTAGCCCATCTGATTAGCCTATCTCTCCCGGGTTACACTTTACACTTTACACTTTGCACTCAATGATCATGGCTATATGAAATGGTTCCACTTACTTGAGCTGAAGATGAGAAGGCTTGTCATCACGACCCAGCGTCCACTCATGGCCACAATTGAGGTACTAATGTAATAATGACATTAATAAGAATAGATCCGACTAGAATCGAATCGAATAGCCAAAAAAAGCTAAGAAGCTAAAAAGCTAAAAAGAGCCCCTAAAATGGGTCGTCTCGGGTTTTTATAACCTCTGCTATGCTGACTCGTTGTCTTCCGGGTATAGGGGTCCTCCTACCCTGACGTGATTTTGGGTCGGTGTAGCTTGATTATTGGTTGTCAATCGAGAAGGGGTTGACTCTTTTGGTAAGCCGCCTCCTCCTACTCAGCATTTTTCGTCTGCCTTAGTGCTTATGACACATTTCATATAGCCCTTCCGTATTGTCAGCGGTTCCCGCTGTCGTGTTAACATTCTGATTAGTCAGGAATTTCTTTTACTTCCTTGTAAACCCAGCTCTCCGGTTCATGTCCTTATTACTATTCAGTTTTAGTTTAGTTTTTTGTGTTTTTTCCATCTTACATCTAATTGTAGTGATTCCAAATTTACCCAAAAACTACTTCTACATGTACGTAACCCTTTGCTGCATAACATGTACATACCGTATTTACGCATGTATAGGCCGCAGCACAATTTTCAGACTAATTATAGAAAAAATAATTTTCTTGGAATATTATTTCAGGAGTAGAACACCCTGTATTACTAATTATGAGTATAATTTTTTTTAAATGAAGTGTGATTTCGAATATAAGCCGCACCCCAGTTTTCCTCTTGAATTTTTGGCAAAAAATGTGCGGCCTATACATGCGTAAATACGGTATAGTGTTGGATGACATTTGCGGGGCATGTAGCACGGATGAAGATAAGAGGGATGTTTAAACGATACTGGTTTGAAAGCCAGAAGGCAAGACCACTAGGAAGACTTGGACATAGGTTGGGATAATATTAAAATGGATTTTTGAGAGATCGCTTGGATTGCTGTGGTCTGGATTGATCTGCCTCAGGATAGGGACCAGTGGAGGGCTCTTATGAACACGGTAATGAACCTTCAGGTTCCATAAAAGTTTGGGAAATTTTTGAGTGGCTGAGTGACTGGCGGCTTCTCGGGAAGGGCCCAGTTGCATGGAATTAGGTTGTTAATGCGACTTTGCGTCCCTGAGTTCTTCACTGCACATTCAGAATATTTAGGAAGTCTTTGCGTTTCGTATTTACGAGTCGTGTGACTCTGGGGCAAGTCGTAACTGAATACACCCTTATCTGTCAAGTACGTCATTATCAGTATCAATTAGTGACTGGAATAATATTAGCCTGGTATAGCACGCATCGTCCGAAACAGAAATGTGTTTATAGACTCTCTGAATTTCATAATTTCGATTGTTTTCTCATTTCCGGTTCCGGCAGGTTTGTAGATACAGTTTCCGCGGTGATTGTGCTTGTGTCTGGCACTCTGTTTATCTGTACACGCTTGAGCTGTCTGACGATCCGGTGTAGAGGTCCTTTACCTTTTACAGTGACGATACACTTGTTTTAAAATTAGCAAAACGTGAGATGTACGCACCGTACTATTTTACACTCTGCTTTCCGATTGTACCCCTAAGCTAGCCTGTTTACCTAATATTAGCATATTTTATACATCGTAACTAGGCACAATAGATCAGTGTGGTTGCCGTGCAAGGGCTAGGAAGGCCCACGCCTTATACATTCATTCATTCATACATCTTAATTATGTTCGTACCTTTTTTTTTTTTTTTGCTAGTGGGGTGGGACTAAGCCCCTTGTACTGCGGCCACTTCTGGCCTATTGTACTGACCCCAGATGATAGGTGAGGGTGATTGTGGAGCAATTGGTGGTATGAAGATTGGCAGGGGATACCGAAGTACTCGGAGAAAACCTGCCCCAGCGCCATTTTGTCCACCACAAATCCCTCTTGACCAGACCCGGGGTCGAACCCGGGCCGCCGCTGTGGGAAGCCAGCTACTAACCGCTTGAGCTATGGCGCGGCCTACAAGGGACTCAGTCCCACCCCACTAGCAATGGAAAAGTACCTATGTGTCTATACACAGCAGTTCAGGAACATCTTTTTAACAGGTGCCGATTGCTTGTAGGTTATTTGCCAACGCTGTGGAACAATTTCATTTGCCCAACTTTTCTCTGAGTTGAAACCGAGCATTTTTCAATAAGACTTGCACAAACACTGCTCCCCTCTTTCTGACATTTCGAAAGTTAAATAGGGTTCGTGAACTATTGTCTTTCGGGTGTGGCTCCTTTTGTGGTGTAATTTAAGAGGAAATTGCTGTTTCTGTCTTAATGTTGAAGAAGGCCGAGGCAGCACGTTGGACGTATCTACGAGACTACACGGCGTCACGCTTCTGTTCTTACTTTCTTCTCGTACTTCGGCTTCCCGTTCTTCTTTTCTTGCCCTAGATAATTTTCTGAGATAGCGGCCCAAGGCTGTATATCCTCCATCAACCTTTGAATGCCTGAAACAGTCTTTATGAAACTTGGTATGAATATCATGGTAACTGAGCTTATCTCAACGGCGTCCTTCATAAATCCCTCCCATCAGTCTATGTGTCTGTATATGTATGTTCTTAGCCACCGGCTCGGTGAAAACGTTACCCCTGCAACGAATACACACGCAACAGTAGAGGAATTGTTGGACGCGTCATATCCTCTGCGCTCCGTGTCGTATCAAGGGAAAGTAGGAGATTAGTTCTTCCCAGAACTTATTGTT